AGAAGACCCTCAATAAATGTTAGTATATGAATGGATAGATGGGATCAATGATGAAGGAAACAGTGAATTAAAAAAAAAAAAATCAATGTAAAATCTAAACCACAAGGCATTTAAGGTCCTCACAGACAGGGTGCCTTGTTCCAATGTTGATTTGGCACTTAGATTAACTCTGTTACATCAAGTCACTGCCCAGAACCAAGGGTTAGGGTTTACCCACGGGGAAACTTTGGAGGACAATTTCTATAGCTTAAAGTCTTTTAAAAAAAAATCATGAAACAGTGTTTATTTGCGTTTCACACTTTGCAAGCTCGCACATATGCTCAAGAGAGCAAATATATTTTGGGTTTGAATACTTAAAGACTCATGTTCGGTGTTTTACCATTGAAAGAGTGCTGGAATGGTTCGTTGAGAGAAATTACTCAATTAATGGAAATCATTTTATTAGTTGGAGTTTCACAAACAGTGCTTCTCTCTTGCCCCAGAAGCTGAAAGTGTACAATAGCCTCAATTCCACACCAAGCTGCCTCTGCCCATTGCTATTCCAGAGGGGCAAGTACTGCCAGCTTCCTCCATCTCAGCCTATTAACGGACACCAGCATGAAAGCTTTTTCTTAGAACTGATGCAAGTCCTGTATTAGCCTTTCCACAAGGCTGGCTTGAAACTCAAATGCTCAATTTGCTAAGCAGAAATATGCTTTTCAGCATTCTGAAAGCAGATTTCTAAGCAGCCTACTTCAGACATTACGAGGACTTGACATGGACTCTGCTCTCAGTGAGACGCAGAAATTATAATTCGTCTTCCCCTACTCTCATCAAAGCTGACACTGAAAAACAACATTTGAGGTCTTATTTCACATACTTAACTCACACACAACAGAGTATTAACTTCAGATTAATTATCTACCAGACTATGAACTCTTTAAAGTTGGGGATGGTGTCTGTGCATCTTTCTACCTACTGCATGTTGAGCATATCAAGCCTGGTGAATCAATTTATAAAAGTTCCCATAATCCATGCTGTGTTTAGTAATTAGTGTGTCTACAAAATGCTCATAACAGTTTTCTGTTTACTAAAATGTATTATATATCTTCAGTTTTGTAAGTATGGCTGAGTAAGTTCCTAACAGGCTGACTGTCTCTAGGTAGACAACTATAAATTCTCAAACGCTGAACAAAATACAAAAAGCAAACATCTAAAGCCTCCGCAGAATGCTCAAAAACAAGGAGGTTCTACAAGGGAGTCAAGACTTGGAAGAAGGGAATGGCTGGGTGAATTCACTGACTGTAGAGCTTTTAGCTGCGTAGCAGAGTTCGAGGCAACCATAGTGCTGAAATGTGTGGGAGGAATACTAGAAATGAGAGTTAGACTTGAGGAGCCCCAAATTTTGTGTATAAAATCTGTCAGTCACGTATGCCAAAAATAAACGCCAAAGTCAAACTGAGAAGTAAACTGAGTTCTGCACTCCTATCCGACAGAGTCTGCATCTGAATCCAAAAATATCAACACCCTTCAAAGAAACATAACAGAATCCAATTTCCACAATATAACACAATGTCCAGTATACAATCCAGAATTACCCAACATATAAAAAATAGGAAAAATGTGACATTATCAAGATAAAAGAGTATCAATTCACATCAAATCTAGGATGACTAAGATTTTAGAATCAGAGACTTTAAAGCACCTATTTTAACTGTGCTCAATTACACAAGATAATATAACACCTGCAATAAATGGAAAATCCCGGCAAAGAAAAAAACATGTTTCCAAATACATATATTTATATATGAATCACATATAAATTCTGAAACAGATAAGTACAATACCTGATACAAAAATTTTATCTGATAGGCTTTACCAAAAAAATAAAGATAACATAGGAAAGAGTCAATGAGTTTAAGATACAGCAGCAGAAATGATCCAAACTGAAGAAGAGGGGGAAAAAACTAATAACAAAAGTGAACAGAGTCACAGGAATCTTTTCGAGAATATCAACAGGTTGAAAGTACCTGTAATTAGAGTCTCAAAGGGTGGGGAGTGAAAGGATCAGAAAAAGTATTTAAAGAAGCAATACCTGAAATATTATGATGAAATGGACAAATCCTTTGAAAAACACAAAACAATTTTCACAAAAGATAAAATAGAAAATCTGATTAGTGCCTTGTCAATTAAAGACATTGAAGAACTTATATCTGATTCATATATAAATATATGTATTTGAAAAGAGTTTTTCACCACCAAACTCCAGGCCCCAGACAGCTTCACTAGTGAATTCTATCTAACAATAAAGAAAACAACAGCACCAAACTGACATACATTCTTTTTTTTTGGAGGGGGGGGGAGGGAAAGAACACTTCTATATGTGTGTGTGTGTGTGTGTGTATAAATTATAGGCCACTATCACTCATGAATACAGATGCATTTGAATCCAACAATGTATAAAAAGGATAATACATCATTAAGTAGGGTTTAACCCAAGAATGCAAAACTGGTTTAATTTAGCCAAATCAATCAATAAAATTCACTACATTAACAGTATAAAGGAGAAACATCCTGTGTTCATTTCAATAGATGCAGAAAAGGTATTCAACAAAATTCATCACCCAGTCAGGATCAAATCTCTCAGCAAAACTAAAATAGAAGAAAACTTCCTCTACCAGATACAGGTCACCTACAAAAAAACCCTCACAGCTTTACCATGCTTAATGGTAAAATACTGAATGTTTTCCACATTGCCTGAGAACAAGAGAAAACTGCCTAACGTCACCACTTGTATTCAAGCATTATGCTAGAGATCCTAGCCAATACAGTAATAAGATAATAAAAAGCATAAAAATTGGGAAGAAAGAAGTAAACTGTTTATGCAGATGATATGATTCTGTGCATAGCACATTCTAAGGAATCTATAAAACAACTTGCTAGAACAAGTGAATTTATTAGCAAGGTAGCAGAATACAAGGTTTATACTAGAGGCAAAAGGTTATAGTAGAGGCAAAAAAATTGGACAATAAGATTTCGAAATACTTTACAAGAGTGTTCAAAAACCATGAAACACTTAGGAATAAGTTCAACAAAAGACAAGACCTCTACCCTAAAAAGTACAAAACACTACTGACAGAAATTAAAAATCTAAATGGAAAGATATACCATGTTCAAGGAAGGGAAGACTTAATACTGTTAAGATGTCAGAACTCCCTAAACTGATCAACAGATCCAATGCAACTGCAATCATAATCCCAGCAGAATGTTTTGTGAAAATAAAACAATAAATTTATACAGAATTGCAAAGGATCTATATGCAAGCAATCCTGAAAAAGGACAAAGTTGAAGGGACTACATTACCTAACTTCACGTCTTACTATAAAAAGCAACAGTAATGAAGATGGTATGGTACTGGCATAATGATCCATAAATAGATCAGTGAAGCAAAATAGAAAGTACAGAAATAGACCCTCACTTAACACAGTCATCCAGTTTCCAACAAAGATGCCAACACAATCCGTGGGAGGAAAATATCTTTCAGCAAGTGGTACTGAAAAAACTGGATATCCATATGAAGAAAAAATGAATTTTGACTGTCTTTCTCACACCATACACAAAAACTAATTTGAGATGTATCATAGACGTAAAATTAAAAGCTATTAAAGGTAAAGCTTTTAGGGGAAACACAGGAGACTATAACTTATAAAGGACTCTAACATTTCCTTGAGGTTGGCAAAGATTTCTTAGTTGACAGAAGGTAAAATCATAAAAGAAAAACTTGATACATTAGACGTCATCAAAATTTAAAACTTCCGCTTATCAAAAAACTCTGTTAAGAAAATAATAGGCAAGCCACAGGCTGAGTCACATATTCACAAAACGTATATCCAACAAAAGATCTGTAGCCAGGATATATTAAAAAAAAGCTCCTACAACTCAATGATAAGAAGACATACAGCCCACTCAGGGAGCGGCAAAAGATCTAAAAAGAGACTGCAAAACTGAAGATATATAAATGGTCAATAAGTGCACGAAAAAGTACACAAAATCATTAATCAACAGGGAAATGCAAATTAACACCACAAGAAAATACCAATATCCTATCAGAATGGCTACAATTAAAGAGACTGACAACATCAAATATGGATTTAGATATATGGAGCAACCACAACTTTGCATGCACTGTTCTAGAAATGTCACAAATACAACCACTTTGGGAAAAAAATTATGGCAATTCATTATAAAACTGAATACACAGCAATATAAACCCTAAATATTTACTAAAAATAAATGAAAACGTATGGTCACAAAATGTACGAAAAGGTTCCCAGAAATTTAATTATAATAACCCCAAACTGAAAACTGCCCAGGCAAATGGATAAATACATTGTGGTATTTTCAGGTACTGGATTATTGTTCTGCAATCAAAAGAAATTAACTACTAATATATACAACAGTATACATAAATCATGTACATGGACACTCTGAGGAAAGAAAAAGGAAAAGCAGAGTAAAAAGAAGATCAATTTAGGCCAAATCTGAGATGATCAAGATTTTAGAAGTAGACTTTAAAGCACCTATTGTAACTGTGCCAAATGTCATAAAATAACACTTGCAGTGAATAAAAATCAAACTTTTTTCTAGAATAATTAGGGAATATTTTAAGCATTTATGTGCCAAACCCTATGGCCAAGCATTTAACATGGATAATCTTATTTCTTATCAATCCAACCTTATCTTACAAACGAAGAAACTACAGCAGGAAGAAGTTGAACAGGCTGTCCAAAGTCCAAAATGTAACTCAGAAGAATAAATTTTAGGGCTCCGCAACTCACGCCAAAGTCAAACAGAAGGGACAGAATCACCAAATAAGGTTTCACCTGATTGTAAAAGTATGTGTGTTGGGGCGTCGTGCTAAGGGAGAACACCTCAAGAACACACCAAACAGAACGTAAACGGAGCGTGCGCTCCCTTGTGATAAGCTCTGACACAGCTGCAGTGCAGGCTCACAGTCTTACCTTAGGGAACTGTTTTACAGGAATCAACACTTTCTGTCCCAGCTTCATGTTCTTATTAATCACCACATCAATGTACTTTTCTTCGTCCTTGCCTTCTCCTTTGTGAAACTTTTCTATTTCTGTGGAAGAAAAACAGACAACTGTGAAGTGTCTGACTTAGAACTCCAGAGGCTGGGGGTTCTCCTTAGCTCTATGGTGGCAAGAAACCCAATACAGAATATGGACTTCAGATGGCTACAGTTTTTTCAAGTAATGACATATGTCCCCCATTGTATGGATGATTCTCCACCAGTACAGCGGGAAAACGCACATACCAGGGCACTACAACGTGAAATCTCAATCGCCCAAGCTAATGGAAGGGAACAAACACAAACATAAAAATAGATTCTTTGGGGCCTTTTGGAATCCTAGGAAAAGGCCGATCAAATGGCAAAGAACAGCCAGAAACTATTCTCAGCTCACCGTTACCAAGCACCGACATCCCTACTTATCAAACCCCGCCTGGCTCTCCAAGGCGTTTCCCATCAAGAACGGGTTCTCCAAGATGCCATTAAAAGCCCTGGACAACCTTCTGTCAGTCGACCTCCCCAACCAAATCCTCCCTCCTCACAAGTGACAAGCCCAATTACAAGCTCATGGCTTTGTTAATGCTCTTTTCTCTTCTTGTGATGTTATTCTGATGATTTCAATTTCACACATCTCCTTCGAGATTCAACCACATTAAATACTACTTTTTATGTGTTACGGTCCCTTTCCTCGACTGGGCAGCAGCAGCAGCAGTGGGAAAATCAGTCCCTCCCACCACGATACCCACAAAGCACTTCATGCACAATTCTACTACCATTTCTAGCTTAGCTCTGCAGCTTCCGACCAAAGCTTCTAAAAATAAAGATAATTACTGAGTCTCCAAATGAGCTGATCATTTTGTTTCCTTTCTTGTATTATCCTAAGTTTTGATCCTGTAAAACTGATCATTCTATATAGAATCTGCATGGGAACAATATACACTGAAACAGAAGGATGTGAAATGTAAACGTTTACATAGATAATTCTTGTTATTGTTGCTGGAAAAAATTCTTCCAGGGTACTTTTAATGTTGACATTTTTCTATAAAAATAAAATACACATACAGTGAAAAGTTAAAACACTATCATAGAATATAAAAGTAAAAGAAAGTTTCTCCTATACCCATACTCCAGAGGTAATAATAAAGAATGTTATATACTCTTTCAGAAATTTTCCATGAATAAATCAGCACACGGGCATGCACATATACAATGTGTTTGAAAATTGTAGAACTAACGGTGGATATGAGCTAAATTAGCTTTGTTTTCCTCAGTAAAAAACAATAAGTCACATGTCACCTGCTCCACTGACTTCAGCTTTAATCAGTAGAAGAAAATTAATTCCACATTTTATTTTTATTTATCCATTTATGCTATAATTGGGAGTACCTTTAGCGAGTTAGAAGACTTAACAAAATTAGGTACACTGAAACTTACCAGAAAAAAGGATTTTTAATGTTATGTATACATTTGTCAAAATATTTAACTACCTATCTTCTTTTTAAATAACAAAGCATTTTTATAATTTTGAGAACTTAGATGCATAATTTAATATTTAATTCCCTAATCGGCACTCAAAACGTTATTCCTTGCATCAGTGACGTTTAACATTTGAAGTAACATGGAAAGTCATAAAGGTAAGATTAAAAAATTAGAAAAAATTATATATTTTACCATATATTAAAGTTTGAGATATGTCTATGATTTTAAAGAGGAAAGTAAAATTTAAAAGAAAAAATATATAAAATACCTCACTTCCTCTCCAGTCAACTTTGCAAATCTTATATTGCTAAAATACCTAGTTGTTACATTAAGTAAGCTTTGAAATATGTTGAAATATAATATTTCACTGTTTAAGGTTTATTTAAGAAAAAAGTTTAAAGCCCGATGTCATGTTAAATCATGTAGGTTTGCATGTACTGGACCTAACATACCACATAGCAATGGAAAGAGTCCCATTCCTGTCACTGGCATCAAACAGATCTGGTTTTCAGCACAGCTCAGGCCCCTGTGACCTCCTGTGGTAACATTCAAAACTGCTCAAAACTTCTGTTTTTTTAGGCGTTGTTCAATCAACAATTTTGCATTTTCTGCTTGATTGGAGATTATAAGTAGGTTGATGTTTTTATGAAGTCCAATAAAGTAATATGCAAAGTAACAGAAGTGTACAAGATGATTTAATGAAATCTTGAAACTGTCCCTAACTGGGAGTTTCATATTCTAAAACTCAGGCTACTACCCCTCCAGTCTTCCTTAGGGAAGGGAAAGCACTGGACACCTACCAAGGTGGATTTAACCTTTTAGTAAATTGGAGCATATGAAGGTCAACCATAGAAAATCCAGCCAGATGTTCAAGGTGGAACACATAGGGGATTTGACTTTCACTAATCCCTAGATTACATTTGTTACATATATTTTAATGTACCAATGCCATCTCCCAGTGCAGAAATAATAAGCAAATGTGTGATTAGGTTTTAGATGATGGAGGGGATTAAAATGCTATGCTTTCAAACCATGGACACCAAATTTCTGTCAACCTGGAAATCTAGTGTCAGTTATGTCTTTTTTGGCTTTTGTTTTTCCATTCCTTTTTGTTTTTTGTCTTGGTCCCGTACGGAGCCTCCCTAAGCAATGGCCACTTACATTTTAGCCTACCAAATATACTAAAATCCACTAATCCTCTAAAACACAGCAAAATAATCTTTGAATTTAACTAAGTTAAATTTCCAATATAAGAAAAACTAGTGAATTTTCATTAAAACTGCTTAAGGGCTTCCCTGGTGGCACAGTGGTTGAGAGTTCGCCTGCTGATGCAGGGGACGTGGGTTCGTGCCCCGGTCTGGGAAGATCTCGCTGGGCCCGTGAGCCATGGCCGCTGAGCCTGCGCGTCTGGAGCCTGTGCTCCGCAATGGGAGAGGCCACGACAGTGAGAGGCCCGCGTACCGCAAAAAAAAACAAAAAAAAAACTGCTTAAATTCTCTCACAGAATCAAGCACATCTAAATTGACATTTTCCTTTGTCCCAGCAACTCCATTTCTACAAATTTACCCTACAAATATACTTGGATAGATTATAAAATATTACATACAAAGTTATCCATTTAAAGCACTGTCTTTAATAGCAAAACACTGGAAATCATCTAAATGTCTATAATTAAGAACCTGGTTACGAAGCTAGGGCACAGCCATACAACGAAATTACATACAGCTACTTTACAACGTCAGGAAACTCTTTATGTTCTGGTAGGAAAAGGTCTCCACCAAATAACTGTTTAGTACACATGCACACATACACAGTGTAAAACAGTGTAAGAATATATGTTCATATTCATTTGTATATGCACAGAAAATAGCTCACTTCTATTAAGAAACGAGTAACAGTGATTAACTGTCAAGGGGGAAATGCAGTGGATAAGAAACAGGAATGGGTCTTTCGCGGTATCTCTCTTTTACATTGTTTTAAAATTTTGAATTATGTGAATATTTTACCCTTAAATTTTAAATCTTTAAACACTTTGGCAGAATTTTTTTTTTAATATTGGAACAGAATAAAATAAGAATGTATACAGAGATTGCCATGCTTATATTTTGCGTCTTGGCTGAAAATCCAGAGCTTGACTCTCTCTTGATCGTTCATTTAAGCTCTTCATTAAAATATTCTTTCACTGAAACTGTGATGAGGAATTTACCTGGACTGCCTATCCCACTTGAAGCAACAGATGTGTTTCTGGAAACTACACGCACAATATTTTATCTTGAGAATCCAATAATACTTCCAATGCAATGGGGTTCACATAGTGAGGGAGAGAGGAACAGGTATCTATCCAAAAAACACTGACTGAGGTCTGATACATTGGAGAAACTGTACTGGGTGCTGGGAAGAAAATACACAGAATCTGTGGCATGTAAACAGACGAATTTAATATAACGTACACAGTGTTGCAGAAAAGGGACTAACAGCTTTGGAACTTGGAAAATTATTCCAAAAGCTAGCAAATGCGTGCTAAGTTCTTAAAGGATGAGGAACAGAGTTTGCCAGGCAAAGAGCCGATGAGTTCTTCAGTGAAGTAAAGTAACCCTGGGTAACACCAGTTCACATTCCCTCATCTGACCAGTCAGACTGTACAGTTGATACATGGAGTTTTACTCCCCCCGCCCTTTTCTCCTTTAACAGTACAAAATAGAATAAATCACACAAGTAATCGTGATGAGCTCCTGCCACTGCAGAGCCAGTCAGTGAACAAGCTGAGACATGGACTCCATTTCCTCACCCCACATCCTGGGTTCCTGCAGAAAGAACCAGGGTGAGAAGAGGGGGTAGTTCTCTGCGGCCAACACAGAGGAGAAATGAGGACAAAAGCATGAAAAGGCAGGCCAGGTTCTTAAGGTCAACACTGATATACTAAGGGTCCAGTAACAACAGGGAGATACTGAGAGCTGTCAGCTAAGGAGTGAGGTGATGGGCACCAGCCTCAAGGAAAGGGGGGCCTGAGCAGAAATGGAATGGATGGAGTGTGGAGAGAGAGCGCAGTTAACAGCACAGCTGGATGATAAGACAATCTGTCCCATGAACAGCGCATGAGGGATGGAACTAGAGGGCTTTACTTCTATTTGGACAGAAAGCCATCAGAGAGGCAAACCCTTCGTATTCAGAGGAGGCATCAAGCCCACAGGACACCCGGGCTGGAGCAAACACACAGGCGTGCCTGCACACCTCTCCCCTCCCTTGCCCTCTACCCCTAACCTAATGCCCAGCTCTTCACGGCTTCTAAAGCACCAGCTCACCGAGGTTCAGGCTTCTGCACTTGTTCCCCAAGACTGGAACACTTCTGGGGACTTTTCCTGGAATAACAGCCTTCTCTTTGGTGCCTCTGCCTAGATTCCACTTCCTAGAAAGACTGTCTTTGAATTCCCAGACTAGTTACCCAAAACAACGCAGCATTCCAGCACGATACTCACCACAGGTGTTAACTTCCTACTAAATGTCTGTCTTCTCCAACAGACTGCCTGTCCCCTCCCCACACTTAACTCCTTTCGTGGTCCTAACAAAGCTGG